GGGAGTAAACTGATAGACGATCGTACTCACTGTGACTCCATCTGTAATGCTATCGGTGTCCTTGCTCACCCCAATATAATGAAAGGCCTCACGAGTCACTCCAACTCATTGTACTCTGGTGAGCCACGATTATTTCTAGTAACACTGAATTCCGCGGATAAGACGGAGGTCATTCTGCTATCTATGAACCGGCACCACGAAATATCAAACAGGATGCGGATACAACCAGACATCTCGTGGAAGGAACCTACAAAAGATATGAAAAACCAAGAAGGACGTAGAAAACTCAATGCTAAGAAGACCATCAGTGTTCACGATGTCCGCCAGTTCAAAGCCACCTTTTCGGAATATGCTACGTGGCCGGAAGCAATGGAGATACATTCGCGACCCACTCTCTCCAGAATTCCCGCGTCACTATATTACAGAGTACGTTGCTCTGGGTTGATAAAGTTGGTTTTACATACTGAGCTAACGGTGCAGCCCCTTCTAGAGAATTGCGCTAGTTTCCGTAAAGTGCTGCCAACAGAAATTCGACTGAAGACATCAGGGATACGGCCACAGGCTACCGGTTGCTCAATGGGCTGGCATACTTAATGAAGGCGCACATTATTGATTCCAGTGCAGCGAATATCTGAACAGACGTCACAACATACGGAGGGACGTGGCGGGATGTGAGTGACGACCAGGGTCATCGTGACCTGGAGTGTATGGTGCAGAAATGGATCACAATTCCGACTCGAGACCCTGTGGCTACTCAAAGCGCCGAGTAGCATCCGAGCACACGAGGGCCGGCAAAGTCTCACAATTGCTGTCTACACCTTCCATCAATCTTTATTTATATCAGGCGCTTTCTTGTTTTATACCAATGCACCAAACCTTTTCAGCAAACTGATAGAGCTTCGACTGCGTCAGGCCGCCACATCGTGAAACCTCACTTACATAAGCCGAGACACAGTTGGGTGAAGTGATCACTGACGCCGAACACGTAGTCACTGGGACGCCTATTCTGCTCAAAAATCGACCGCAAAAAGGAGGTGGTGTACAACTGTATTATAGCAGTGAGCTAGCTCTTAATCTCATCGACTAGCTGGAGGTCCAAATATTTGACGCGCTTTGGTGCCGTCTTCATCTAAGACGTGGTGACACGTGCCTAGTGGGCATCGTGTATCACACTCCGTCATCCACATCAGAAATCGACCACCACCTAGCCTCCAATATGAAAACTATCCCCGTACAGTCACACAGTCATATTCTCCTGGTTGATGACTTCCATATTCATACCTGAGGAACCCTAGAATGTCTCGATGAAGACTTCCAAATGGAATTTCAGGAGCTAAGTGTTCGATTACCAACCTACAAGCAAGTTATTTCCCCACAAGATTCAGGACGAAGAACAAATTAGGTATCCAGGATCTCCTGTTCACCAACGAAGAGCTCATGATCGAAACGGTGTCGACAGTTAATCCTTTGGGACGCAGCGACCATACAATACTCTTGTTCAACTACCACTGTTATGCTGGGTATTCCCAGGAAAACGCCGGTATTTCACAGCTTATTACCGCTTACGGCGTTCTGACCACACTCATTAATGCAACCAACTAGTCATTTCTAACTGAAATATCCCCTGATATCCCTTAGTGCGATTTTGTACATCAATTCAACAACTTATTAGCTAATACTTCGAGGAGCATGCCACCGCGCGAGGTAGGAGCAAAGCCAATCATACGCAGCACGACGGGGAAGTGTGTGGTTGCCCGAGAAACAACAGTGAGTCACTAGGTGCCGAAACAATAGAAGGCTACACCATCCAACAAAATCATTGCGCGTACCTGGGACGCAAAGATAAGTTAAAGCGTTAAAAGAATCTGGCTGAAATATTCTCATCAAACTCTAGCTACTTTACATACATGTTAACAAACTGCGTGAAGAGCAACGAGGTATTCCTGCCCTCCATACGCTATGTGGGCAGCACAAACTGCAACAGAGGCAGCCAACACCCTACGTCAGCAACTCTTCCCTAAGTTCCGGAACACGACTTCGTTGGCTACACCGTTCACGCAATTTATACAGCCACCAGGACTTAGCCACATCGCATATACGGCCGCGGGTAGTTTGAAAAGGCAACTTTTGCTGCTCGAGTATACTTCCTGTTGCTGGTAATATCCGCCCGAATACGCCGAACATAGATGTAAAAATTTAGTGGATCTATCCTCTCCTTTCTTTCAGTGATGTCTCTATGAGACACGAATTCCAAAAATGTGGAAGTAGAAAATCATCACTCCTATTCACAAGAGTGGAATGGCTTAGAGATGGCCAAAATGGCCCGAAAACACGCCTTCCAGTGTTATCCAATGTCATGGAGTCTATCATTGCCGGAGAAATCATGCACTATTTGTAAGGGTGCAACATCACAGCACCAGAACAACATGGATTCCGCCAGAACCGATCTTGCACCACAAACCTGCTACTTGCTCTTTCCAGTTTCTATCGAAACCGTCGACAGCGTTGTGGGAGTTGACGCATATTGTATACTTCAAGAAGTCGTTAGACCGTCGGAAACAAAGCATCCCCATACATATGCTTCAGAGCTGTGGAATTGGTCATCCAGTCCTCGGTTGGATAAGCAAGTTCCTACCTCAATAACATCTGCATGTGAGACTTTCCAGCGCCATCTGTGACCTTATGGATGTTCAGTGCGGAATGCCACATGGTTCAGTACTTGGTCCATGCCTATACCTGATTTATATAAACGATCTCGCGAGAGCGCTCACTTCCAATTTCTGACTCCTCACTGATGATCACAAGATATGGCAGACCGTCAAATCGACGGGTGACCACGTAGCACTACAGAATAGTCTTGATAGAGTATACGAATGGGTGACTCGGAATCTGCTTCATTTTAACGTCGTCAAGTGTAAGACATTGAGCATACGCCCTCAATCCACTTGTAGGTACAGGCTGAGGATCACTTTTCGTAGCGCGCTTCTAATGAATGAGACCTAGTTTTGCTAGTAGAAGATCATGTCTATTCGCGTCAGGCTGAGAATGCATTTTATAAGGATAGCCAGTATCCTGGCCTTTTGAGGAGAGCATTCGGGGATTTTGACGTCTCAATCTACCCTCAGATATTCAATGTCTGCATTAGACCCCATTTGAATTAGCCATACACACCTGGCAGTCCTGTCACAAGCACGACCTCCCCGCACTTACTATGCGACTACGAATGGAGGTCAAAAATGTAGAGGATCTGTTGCATCTCTATTACCAACTGAGTTTGAAAATCATCGGAGTCTACAGTAGACAAGTTTGTAGCCTACGTGTCGATTTAATAATGACATATTTGATCCTGCGTAATCCGAACCATGGCTGTTGTCACCTTCTGAAGTGGAATCAGAATACCTCTATGAGAGGTCACCAGGTAAAGCTGGCCGTTTAGAGTACTCATCCGCTTAGTGTGCATAAAGCAATTCCTTACTTGGTTTCACTTCGTGTGTACCAAGCATGGGACATTCTCCCCCTCTATGTTGTCTTCTTCCCCACACTGGCGGTGGTCAAAAAATCTCTCTGGGGTAAACTCATACATTTACATTACTTTATCTAAGCCTTTATAACCGTGCACCAACCTAACACCACCATTCAACATGCGCATTTCCACTTCCTGCATCTCATTACTCGAACGCTGCTACTGTAGAATAGCGTTACAATGTACTCAACCTGGATTTGCCCATCAGATCCCCCCAAAGAAGCGACACACGGGTGAGCGCTCTCATTTCCATTTTATTGTTTCGCACGGAATGCATTTTGGTTTGTGTGCGCATCTTCAGTTCCCAGTTCAAACTATCCTTACGCAGCAGAACATTTAAATCGGTGGATGACGAAACTGACGATTCCAGTATTCAGTGGCGTAACAACTACTTTTGCTGCTCGGGGCAGCGGTAAAATTTTCGCCTTGACTGAGGACAGAATATGCGCGTGAAGGCCACAAAATCAGCTCAGGGTAAAGTGCATCTTATTTTTCGATGGAACGGTTGATTGTTTGGTGATGAAAGTGACCACAAGGGGACAGGAAAGGGGATCGCTGGGAAGAACGTTTGCACAGGTGTGCCACATGGTTCAAAGGTGTTGTTGGTCATACAGAGTAACATTACCATATTCAGCCCTAAGCTTACCTGGAAATTGTGCCTTTTTTAATTGGCATCGAACAATAGAGGGTACTAAAAGTGCCGCACCCAGTCACATGCCGTCCAGGACGGACCGCTCCCCCCTATTCCCCTTGCTATTCCTCTGCCGCCTATCATTTGGTTTTTAGCTTTCACTCCAGCCATCCTATAAGACTCATGCAGAACTTGCTTTTTGCCGGTGCCAAATCGTTGTCCATAGTTTAGCGTTTCGGGACACCCTCCACCAAGGCCGTTGCATCTTGAAGCACGACAAAGGCAGACAATACGAAGCAGCTGGTTTTAAAGTGGAGCACGTATTTTCGACAGTAGTTCAAGCAAATAGTGTCCAAATGACAGCAACGCCTCTCCGAGCACAACCTAACAAATGTGGGCCACCAATTAACCCATGGTTCTATATACAGTTTCGACCGAGTAGCACTTAAAACAGGGTACTGCTGGAATGTAGGAGAGTGAATACCGCACAACTAAACCTATTCGGAAAGTCATCAGTATCCGGAAAAGGAATGTACGGACCTCTTATCCTTTCCAAACTCGTTATCAATTTGCGGAGTAGCACTGCTGACAAGTCCCGAAAGGAAGAAAGTGCGGTTCAATGTATTATCGAAATTGATCGGACACCTGATTAAATTCTGTTGCGATGAATCTCATCTACCTGTGCCATCCGAGTCCCAACGTCACTCTCTCAATTATTTCTGTTGTCTGCCCTAGAAACAGTGCTCGCCATGAGCAACTCAATAGGAATGACCAACAGATACTGAAAGCATTGTCTAACAAAAATAAAAGAACTGTTGATTTGACAATGTAACCAGATTCGTTTACCTGCTTGCATCAGCTGTTCATGAAGAAACCCTTTTCTATGACGCAGCACGGACAGCACGATGGGATTTTCAGCCTCTTTGAGCGCAGCGACAGCATTCACGTTATCTAACCCCAAGAGAGCCTTGTCGTTGACCTACAAAATTGGAAGACAGCGAAGTTCTGAGCAAAATCAGTAGTAATAATGTTTGTTGATATAGAGTTTGCATCTGGATTCTTAACAGTGGGCAATCTCTGTTTTTCGCTAATGGTTTTATTTTTGTTGCATGTTGCATAGCGATGTCTATAACCGAGGCCATATATGAACAACAAATAGCTTTACAAACCAGAGCTCTGTTATGACATCCAATTAGCACGTGGTTGCCAAACGATGAACATTTCATTTACCTATAGAAATTTGATTATTCAGGGTAGTTGAACAGACTGAGAATGATCAGACTGTTCAGCATACTGTGAGATTATATATTTACGAAACACTTGATTTAGGCGCTGTACTGCCGATGAGGTAAAAGTACTCGGTGTAACACCTCACCAATAGCGCTTACTTCACTAACCATGATGAGGAGATAACGGTGCAGACACTTTGCTCAGACCATTTGGTTGGATTGTGCCTCGCACGGTTGAGAAAGATTCCTTTTATTAATGGTATTATTAATTGGGGTAGATACAATGCGAAAACAAGAGCTATTACTTTGTTCGGAACATTCCAGTTACGATAGGAACCTAGTATTAGTGAAGCTCGAAAAAGCATCAACCTCTGAACGCAATGTGTCACTACAAGCGGCAGGTAGTCGGACAGGTAAGGTCCGATCCGTGTCTATATAGACGTTCAAAGGCATAAATCAAAGGTTAGACTGACGGTATTTAAAGGAAAGCGGTATGATTTGGGATGGCGTACGTTCCCAATGTTGTGCCAACGATACGGTCTTTTCTACACAGTAAGTAAGGAATCTACTCAGCTGATGTACCTCATGAATGTACAACAGCAAAAGACACTGTTTATACGATTTCCTGATATATGACTTAACTGGAAATTCACGTAAGGTGCTCCAGCAGTAGTCCACCATCATACGTCTGTCCCACCTACCTTGGTACCACTTTTTCATCAACGTGTTTTTGCTTAAGTCATTATGCTTATCCGGGAATCTGTACAGGCGACTATGGAGAAAACGTGACTTTATACTCATGTTACAAGTCAATGTTAAAAAGTTTGCAGGCATATTCTCCACTAATTCTTCACAGCAGCCTGTCTTATGGTTACCCAGAAAGCCCTAGATAACGAAATATAACTACTCACAGCAGATGCTTCAACACTGTTAATGTACGCTGTATAATTTCACTCCCTAATAAGCTGTCAAATTTGAGAACCGTCGAAGATGCCAGCTTTCAGTTTCTCCATACTCAGTTTAAGGAATGGTATACAAGTGTACCTGAAACAACCATCACCTTTGTGCAGTGATTTAACAAATTGCCTCAGCAGCTTCAATTTAATATGAATTTGTGAGAAAACAGTGCTTTCTCTGTCAATCAAAAGATCCTTAATGATGTTTGCAGAGCTTAAATCCATGTTTTCACTGGTTGGCCAAATCACTTGCTTCCAATTACGTTGTTTATCCCTGTACTATAAGAACATGAGGCAAGGACGCTGTAAATGTTTATAAATGGCCTCTTTTGGTCGATATATCGCAGTCCCATTACTTGAAAAACTTTTGCAATATTATATTTGCAATATCATTTGGTGTTCATTGCGCTTCCGCATTTAAATAGAGAATATATATGATTACATTAAATACGGGCTGCCATTTCTAGTTGCGGACGACATCAAACTAGTCTATCCACTCCTACTTAGCAACTGAAAATATCCATCAAAAATATGCGCGGAAACCCATCAGCTCTAAACAAATAGAGGGAAGCATGTCTATGAAAAACACCATCCGACCTCGCTCATGACTGTCGAAAAGTAACCAGAGGCCTGCGCGTAGCCATTACATATGTTTGTCGTTTAATGAAGAAATTTGACGATGTATATCACTTCGTCGCATCTCGTCGTCCGAACGTAATAGGACTGGCCGAAAACTGGTTAAATCCTGAGCTCGCTATCCAAGAAGTCCAGCTCAGTAACTACTCGTGCTTTCGGTGCAGAGGCGTAGCATAGTGGGGTGGGGCGGGTGGTCCGCTCCGGGATGCACGTGACAGGGGGTGGCCTTTTTTAGCACGGATGATTGTTCAATACCAAGTATAAATGCTTCGAAATTACCTCCATGATGGCAGTGGCAAAAATCAACGTGATAATCATGCCGGGACTGAATAGGAAATTGTTACTTCAAACGTTGATTTCCGAACAACAGCAAACGACAGTGACGGCACGGACACAGCGGGAAATATTTGTAATGCTAATGCAGATGCTCGAAGTTGAAGAAGTTAAAATACAACCATGCTTTGGCACGATAATACCCACGGCAACCGATTTTATGGATGTCTGTCATTTGCCAGTTATGAATAGGCATGCAAATCTCACTGTGATAGCGCTGCTCGGACCTACCGTTGTGCAGCAAGTCGATCATTAATTCAATAGGTGATTTTACCTGGGACGAACACAAAAGCTGGGCTAAGAAGATAACAGTTCTTTCTCGGGATTTGCAAAATGGTAAGCAAGAATCGCGGACACGGATGGTGTATTCTCTTTTAAAAAACGACTCTTTTGGTTTCGCCTGCAGGATGTTTTCAACGGGATAGTCTACATTTTCGACTGATGTGGGTTTCAAAAACTGGTGGGAAATAAATCCAAATGCATGTGAACACAAATCTAGCGCATCGCTTGCTCAGCCACTCTGCAACCTCAAGGAGCTAGTGATCCGGCTATGTGAAGGAAAGGCAATCGAGAACAAAAGTAGCTAACACCGGTAGAAACGAGTTGGCGTGAAATTCAAGCCAGAATGCTAGATATCTTCAGATTTCTCGACAATCAAAAGATGATACTGTGTGGTCACCGAGAAAACATCCAGAATGATCATGGAGAAGAACACAGGAATTTTTCAGTATTTATACATTTGTTAGCCAAATATGAACCTGTTCTTCGAGAATCTTTGGTGACAGTGCAACCGGGAAGGAAAAGTAGCACTTTTTCTTTGTCGCCATATGTATAAAATAAATCCTTGAGCATTTTGGTAAGGCAGGTGAGAAAAAATCATGGATCAAGTCAATAAAAGCTAATATCTACTGTTTTGCTAGTACCCGATGCATCCCACAAGAATTAGACAAGGGCAAATGAAGTGAGGGTAGAGGAGTCAATTCTCAGCCTCATTGTGACCAACAGCAAAGTTGCAGAGAAAATTGCGGGATGGGTTTCAAAAGAATCGGAGAAGGATTGAATTCTGACTGATCACTGCCTTGGCCAGGTATTTGACAATGCGACTATTCTGGCGGGCTACCAATCAGGTGTGCAGCGACTTCTGCGAAATCAACCCAAAGCTACATTTATTCCATGCTCAAAAACTATTTCTTGAATCTGACTTGTGTTCATGCCGTTCGGCGTCGGTTCATTCTGTTACACTTTGGATACGATGGACCGGATATTCACTTTTTTCATCTAAACATTGCTGGAATGTCTTGATTCAAGTCACCGGCCTTAGTATCAAGCAGCTGTGGAATCTAGATTGAGTGGCTGAACAGTCGCTGCAAATGTTGTGGGGATGAAATACTCGAACTCCTAACGTTTATGAAACGTTTCATAGAATAAGACGGTGTTATCACAACATCGGATGCATCTTTAGTTTCCTCCTCGCTATTGTCGCTTCCGTTTATTTTGTTTCTGAGTCTTTGGAGATCTGTTCTCAGAGAAATCAAGGATGCAGTGATCAGTATAAATAAAAGGATTGGATCTGCAATAAAGCTCTGTCAAGCTTATACTGTTAAGAGTTGACGTTCCTCAGAATACCGAGAAAATAGTGGACTTTGCAATGGATGAATCAAAAAACACTACAACGAATTGTGGGTACACTTGAAGGGTCGAATCAGTCAAAAGCAACGAATGGACGGAGAAGAATCTCTTAATATATCGATGTGATTTGCTACGGAGTAAAAACAGGGAATGTTGTCCGTAATGGACAGTTTGACTAATGAAATACTATAGCTTTGAGGAAATTCATGACCTCACAAACAAATGTGATTTTCTAACGCCGTCAAATCGGCTTGATGAGAACCATGATTGTCCACTTTAGGAAGTTGAGGAAGATTAAAAAGACATAGGAATTCCTTGTCAAAAGGAGAAGACCGCAGTATTTCGTTAAAGATCCGAGCAACGACAAAATTAATGGACCTACTGAATTGCTGAGCTTCATACGGAAATATCACCTTTGGAAATTTGCTTCGCATTTGGCTTGCAAGAACTTTAGGGTCTTCCAGCTGTGAGTGCGCTTTTTCACACGCAATCATATGACCAATTAGCTTCGATCATCAGTGAGCCAATTATGGCTCACGGATTTGCAGTTCTGCCCATACAATGGGGACTTGCCAATGGACTGAATTTTGTTAGTGTTACTATTGCCTCAAGTAGTGCACGAAAAGTGCATCAGTAACTTTTGTACACGACTATTGTAACAATTCAAACACCTGCACTTACGGCAGCACTCAAAAATTAGATCTTTGCTTGTTGTTGTATAAAAAGAAATATTGTATGTCAATTAGCAATCGTGAGGGTCTACAAATATACAACTGCCAGGGGTAGCAATTTTACGTCCGTCCCGGGGCGGCAAAAGTAGTTGCTACGCCACTGTTTCGATGCGACAGACTACCAACCGATGGGGGAGGCGTGCTGTTATACATTCGGTCCTCGCTGTGGGGGCGACTGGTATACACCTACTGTAGCGAACATGGTGTGTGCGAACAGTTATGGTGCCAGATCCGCCTGAGACAGAGTAAACTGCTCGTGGGTGCGCCTTATCGCAGCCCGCTAAGTCATTGCCTGGATTGGTTGCTGCACGCCAGAAACTACATGAGTCGGCCCCGCTTCCTGCTTATGGGCGATTTTAAGTTTCTCGAATACGGTGGCCAGGGGTTCAACATCTCTCAGGTCACTGTGAAATCGAGGTGCAGTTTGCAGAGATGATATTTGAAACTGGAGTGACGCAACAGCTT